CCTAAAGGTATCGAAGTCTCATTTAATTTTTCATTCCTACTAGATTAGTAGCATTACTTTAATGTTACACATGTCACACATCGAGATGCTTGTCCTTCTTCTTAGGAGATGGGTGATATATAAAAATAATTCACTTTCAAGTTTTATAAATCAGTATAGTATTATTATATATATAGTAGTATACATGGTATTTGAAAGTGAATTATTTTTGGTTTGAAATTAGCCAATCGTTTCCCCATACAATGAAGCTATATAATATTATATATGAATATTTATTATATGTGAATTTGTATGTAATATAAAAATTGTTTGCATTGTGTGTGTGTGTGTGTGCGTGTATGAAACAGTAGATCCTATTTTCGTGAAACGTCTATCGTCACATACACGGAGGTTACAATGAAACTGCTTCACAAAAACAAGGATCTCAATACATCAAATAAAATTCAAAACGTTAACGTCAAAGTATAATTATATCACAACATCTTTTCACGAAGTATTAAGAGAAATTTTATATTAAGAGAAATTATCACGAAATTTTCTTCATCTTCGTCAGCAGTCTAAGTTTTCTGTATCCATAGGTTTTGGAGATTTTCAAAAAAGAATAAAATCGAATCATGCGCACCAATTCACTGTTACATCCCAGAATATTCATACAATATTCTAATAACGTAGACAATCAAATTTTATTTCACTCCAGATGGCGGTAAAAAATCTTCATAAAGATGCGCAGCCTCTCCGTTAGTATCCAATGTCATTGAATACGTCCCTTCAGCGGGTGGTTATGATTTTAAAAAGCTTCCAGCCTATGGGCGCAATTTAAAAGCATTCGGAACCGGGGGGTGGCAAAACCGAACGAGGTATGAATATCAATTTATTGTTCCATTAAACCTATGATTTGTGATGATGGTTAGAACGGGATGTCCTGACCTTAATGGATTTCCATGTCGGTACTGTGCACGACGCTCGATGATCCTCGAGAAAGCGCAGCGCTTCGTCCCCCTTGCTGGTATATAGCGTAGAGAAGGTCAAATCTGGCCTTGACTGTTCAGCAACCAGAGAGGAGGACCCGATACGAGACCTTGCGCGTCCCACACGAGACCATTTACTATACAGACACGCTCACAGAAAATGTATAGCTAACCGGATATCCTGCTTAGTCAATATTATCATCGAATATTTGAATGCATGCCCCATTTTAGAGGATTTCAGTTTACACGCGTGTCCAAAATATCGATAGATTTCATTGTAAATCTATGTTTTCGGTATACAATTCAAGGTACGGGTTAGTTTGCTCTTAATGTACATATCCGTTTATAAGCAATAGGGTTCCCCATCAGACCTGGATAAAAGTATTTGAAAAAGTACTGGAAATAGATAATGAATCATAGAATATTTGACGTCATAGAGACAAGTGTAATTATTGAAAATAGCTATCTATGTTGTGGCAAAAAAATTTATTAATTGAAATGGTATTTTTTAAAGATGTACTGGAAATAATTATTTGAAATAGGGAAATGGAGCCGATTACTGTGAGGTGACCAATTGCTGTGTCTTTGATTTGTTTTCCGGTATAGTTAACTTTATATTTCTCGAACAACACGTATTAAATATTTCTATGAAAAAATAAACATAATGAAAGAATACAAAAATTTTATGCGTCTTATTCAACAAATATAAAATTAATTATGCCTAAAAATAAACCAAAGGCACATTAATACGTCACCCTACAGTAACCGGCTCCAGTACCCTATAATATACACTTTATACAGTGTAATTTTATATTTTAAACAGTACGTAATT